ATCGCTCGCTCAGATGAAAGTAGTGGCGGTTCGGAATTTCATACGGTCTATTTTGATCTACATGTATGGATTGTTGCTCGTCATCATTACAGACAACAGAACTCAATTTGCGAACCAGCTAGTAAAAAACTTCTACGCAAAACAAGGGATTGATCTGAAATTCTCCTTGATTGATCACCCTAGAACAAACAGGCGGGCTGAGGCAGCTAACAAACTCATCATAAACCTATTAAGGAAAAAAAGTCAAAGGAACTAAGGGAAGCTGGACAGATTTGCTACCCTCAGTGCTCTTGGCAATCCGAACGATGCCTTCTATGGCGACCAAACAAACTATGTTTATGCTAATCCATAGAATGGTGGTCATGCTACTAGTCGAATATGATCATCACAACCAAAGGGTCGTTACAGTCTTCTCTTTCATGAAGGGGGCAGGGCTCTATTTATAGAGGATGGGAGTGGCCTCCCTTCAAATAAAAAATGAATCTGGACTATTCCATTAGGCGACACGGAGAGATTCATTTGATCCAATGACATTTTATGGGCATTTAAGAACCTTAATGATGTCGAAGATGAGTGATCTCGGGCTCCTTGGAATTGTTTCGCCGAGATGCACGATTTGACTATAAGCTTGTCAAATTTAAGATCTATTTGACCTTCTAGTTAGCCACCCAAAGCTTTTAAAAGTGGTTTAACAATCTGTTTCAAACTTGATTTGACACAAATCACGCCAAATTTGTTATCATTGGGTCAGCCTCATTGAGCTAGTTAGTTTGACTATAAGTTTGTTGAAAACAAAGTTCTGTTTGCTTTTCAATATGAGTGTAAATATATCTTGCATGGAAAATCCCTCGAGCTTTATGCAAAGACTCTAGATTCAAGCCATATGATGAAAATTTAATGAAAACTTATCATGTGTTATCATTAATGGTTTCTTGGTGACGTCTTGCATGGATATTTGTTCCTTATAAAATATCTTTTCTTGAACTTCATTTCTTGCAAACTTCACTTCGACAATGCTTTTGTTAGTCAACTTGAACACCGGGCCAATTTAGCCAACTCCCAGTTGCGGGGCGAGTCACTCTTCTAAGGAGAGTTGTCGAGCATCATTGATTGAATATTTGCGCGCAAGTTATCTAGCATCACTCCTTGGTTGAGTTAATTAGTTGAGCAAATTTAGCCTACCAATCTAACCGACTCAACAAGCTATCAAGCTTTTCACATTGATCCCTACCCATAGACTTATGGCTATTTCTTATATTGAACCAAACCTAAGGTCATTCGACCATATAAAGCCATGTCTTTTAGCTTTAAGAATATTAGCATAAACTAATAGCATGCTATCAAGCATTTCTCCTTATATTATTTAATCAAATATAGCTTTTCTTATATCACTTATAACTTTGTAAATAAAGGGTAGAAGAGTAATTTTTAATATTCAAGATTTTTTATATTTTGTGCTCACATTAAAATTCTCAGATTTCTCTGTAACTCGTCCCCTCTTTTTTCTTCAGCTTCAATTTTTATTTATTTGTCTTTTGTGAGACTTTGTAAGTCTTATTAGCAGAGCCCTCACATCACAATGGACTATACAAATCCATCATCTCTTATGATACAATAAGTGTGGATTGAAATTGATGTAGCACATTATCTAAATTAAGTAAAAGATCCACTTGCAAGAACCCAAGTAAGAACTCAAGGAATAAAGTGCCCAATTAAAGCCAAATATTTCTGTCCAGAGTCCGAACGTGCGGAAAATGGTCGAGATGCAACGGAGGATCAGACCTCCACTGTATTGTTGCATCGCGATCGTTTTCCGGACATCTGGACTCCGGATAGAAAAAACGTTTCCAATTAAGAGCTCATTCAAAGCCCATTACACGAACCCATCAAGAATAAATATTTGAATTTATATTTTATTATTTATATTTCAATTTCAGTTTCTAGAATATTTGAATTTCAAATTTGGAGGCTTTTATGGATGTTCATAATTAAATAGTAATAAATTAGAAATGTGGTTAGTGTCTTTCTCCATTAATGACCCACCACCAACCACTCTTTATAATTTCCTCCTTTTTTTATTTTTTTATCATTGCAATCCCTATACATAAAGCTAATATATAAGGAATTTTGATCAGTTGTTGAATGAAATATTTGTGCTGGTATTTTCTCTCTTGTTGTTTCTTGCTTGGTGACTTCAAGTGTTGCATTTCTTCGACAAGATTAGGCATTTATTTTTTTTTAAAGTTATTTATTAATCATTCATAAAACTTGCTCTAAACACCACTCTTTCATCCACATCCCAAGCTTTTCATAATATCAAACCAACATTCAAAGCCTCAAAATTATTCTAAACCCCTCTTCGGAGTTCTCGACCAAACTAGACCATATTAAGGACCAGTCATGTTCTCTTATCCTCAACATCATCATATATCAATCCAAAACTACTCATCTACTCCAGATTATAGGTACACATCTTAACTAACCACAACTAATTATTTCTAGCCATTTATCCAATCTAAAGCCACTTTTCCAAAGAGATATTTCAAATCAATCCAAACTAGCCTAATCTAGACTTGTCTTGGTATTTTAATATTTTAACATTTCATCAAAACCGCCACGTCACATCGTTAGACTTAAAAGCAAACACCAACAACAAATTTTAGTACTTTATCTCATCAAAAAAAAAACACCCACCTCCATGAGAAATTGTTTTTCAAAGCTCCATAAGAACATTTACTTTGTTACTAATTCGTCGTTTGATCTGACCACACATTGTGATCGTTTGTCCCCTAGATTAGCTTCTATTTGCACAACAACAACTAGGTTAGCCCTTCCCTTTATCTTGGGAGTCCTAAAGCTTCTAATGGACATCCGTGCATAGACAATTGCTATTTCATGGAAGTCACTTTTTAGAATAAGTTATCTTTCAAAGATCATCAGGTTCCTTTAGCAAAAATTTCTTCAACTCTCTTATGTCGGTCTCTAGTGACATAAATGCATTCAACTTCTTAGCAAATCGACAAACTAACAAACTAACCACTTGTAATAGTAGGTCATCAGAAAGTTCACCTGGCAACTCACCACATCAACCCTCATGACAATATAATGGATCTTACCAATGAAAATAAAGTCAAGCCACTTCTAGCATTTGAGGAAAAAGATAGCATGACTAAGGTTATAGGCCACTTGTAAAGTCTTATTTCTAGGGTGAATCAAGGCAAAAAAGCCATAGTTGATTTGAATGATGGAGTTAGTATCAATTCATTTGAGTACACCTCATCAGGAGGTTTTAGACTTCTTGAAATGGCTACAACAATACTCTTTCCTCGCCTAATTTTGGTGCCATTGGATTCATCTCATCGAGTCATTTTATTGAAATAAAAATTCTGAATGATTTTTAATTTCAATTTGAATGCTTCCTGCTAAGAAATGCTCCTAGATTTGTGTTTATCAATTCAAAATTCGTGCCAACGACAATTTGATGACATATTAGTTACCCTCAATTTTCCAACAATTTCATCCGTTCATTCGAAAATTATCTAGACAATAAATATTTGAGAAAAATTTTCAAAAAAGTTATAAAAATTTTCTGCCCGGCAACGCGATAGCGGAAGGTGTGAGGTATAAGATATAAGAACACACAAAATTTATAACACTTTAGTGCTATGAACCCAAATATGCATAAAAAACATATATTTTAGAAGTTATTAATAGTGATATTTATGACATGATGTTAAGGATTCGAGTGTTATACGTGCAAATAAATATAAAAATTTAGGTATTAGAAATGTAAATAAATAAGAATTGTGTGATGTGAATGTAAAACCTGCTCCAGTATCCTCACAACTTTTGTTAATGACACCTGAAAACTGGACAGTGGTGTTACATTCATATGTACAATATGATGACATCTCTGGCAATACAACTTCTGCCCATAATAATCACAGATATCTGAAAGGGAAATTTGTTAAGACGAAACTAAAGAACAAAAACTATATATTATTTACATAGAGGCACAGAAGAAATTTACACCCAGGATCGCCATCAGCTTCATCACAACCATTTAGCTCCAGCTTCAAAATCTTATTTTTCAATCTTCGGAGGCTGTATGTCGGAGCAGCTGAATGAGAACCTTACTGCAGCTTACCATAAGCAGCAAGTTCAGTAATAGAATAAATCAATGTATTCTGCTGAAAATGAAGATGCTGAATATGTATTTTTTTTGGGGAAAAGTGCTAACATTGTAATCTTTAGGGGTGCAACCGAGCGAGCTTGAATGTGCTCAATAATTGTTCAGGTTCCGCTTGTTCAAAATTTTTTAGTTCGATACAAGCTCGTGAATAGCATGTTCATGTTCGGCTTGATGCAAATTCGTTGTTTGCTTGTTTTGGCTTATGTTTGGCTCATAATTAGCTCGAATGACTTCAAAAATATTAAAATTTAACATATTTTTTAAATATAACATAGAAAAATCAATATAAAATTTTATAAAAATATCAATTATTTAATTATTTAACTAATTCATGCAAAACGAACAATCATACAAAAGTTTGTCGGTGTTTGACTAATCTATTAATCAAGCTCAAAAAATTATTCATGTTTGTCTCGTTTGCTTAACGAATGAATCAAACATAAGCTACTTAGCAAGTTGAATACAAACTTTTCCCAAACCATGCGGCTTTTTGAAAACCCTAATTCTCTCACTACTTAGAGAGGCTAATTTAGCCCCAAAATAAATACAAATGACAAATTAGTTCCTAGATATATTTAATGGGACTCAAAATAGTCCCTCTTTTAAAAGAGTATGGAGACTATTTCAGTTTTAGTAATAAAATGCAACCTGCAAAGGGTAATTTGACCATTTTGACACATTTTTTTTCATTTTTTTCATGTAAAATGATAATGTATTCAGTTTTAAAAGACTAGAATATTCAAAAAATCTAACCTGTTGGTCAAACGGTGCTCCATCTGAGCTCAACGTGAATCACTCCATTCTTAGAGTTTATGAGATTAAATCTATTGTTGATGCGCCCATTATTCACGACATCTGCGAGGTTAAGATCAACATGGCCCAGAGATTCCTACAGTCTCAATGAAAAATATTCATGTTAAGAATAACAAAAGAGGATGTGAGAAACATGCCTATTCACATACATACCACTTAATTCTTATGTATTTACATATCGAATACCTAAACTTTACTTTTTACGATTATACCGCCCAAATCTTTCATATCACATCAAAATACCACTATTTTGACTTTTGAAAAGTGAAATACACCTTTTTCATACATAGGTAAGGTGGCATATAAACGTAAAAATTGAGGTTTAAGTGCTAGATATGTAAATACATAGAAATTAAGTGATATGTATGCAAATCTTTATTTTTTTGTCAAGTTTTCCAACCTTAGCATGCCAGCTGAAACCTCTCCTCTTGCTTATAACTTCAATATGTATCATGTCGTTAACTGGTGGTTCATCTAACACGAACTGGAACCCTTCATTCCACCGTGGATCTCTACTTTTTTTTATTACCTAAAGTTAAAGCATACAAGACAAATTCTTGAGGCATTTACATAAATACCATACCACTCAATTCTTATTTATGTATGTACATATCTAATTCCTAAACTTTACGTTTTATGTCTATAACACTCAAATCTTTCATATCACATAAAAAATACCACCCTTTTAATTTTAAAAAAGTGAGCTGCACCTTCTCATGCATAGGTAAGGTGGCATGTATGTAAAAATTGAAGTTTAGGTGTTAGGTAGGTAAATACAATGGAATTGGGTGGTATGTTTGTAAATCTTGCTAACTTGTAAACAAAAAGACACATTATAACTAAGAGTAAGAAAAAACATCCAAAAATCTCAACAAGCCCAATTTTTTTTCCAATATTACAAACTTCACCTTGGTTTTTTTGCGCTCTCCTCTAAAAGAAACAGCTGCGTAGGGATTGTTGTGATGCTTTCCTTCAACATCTTCTGCACCTTCAACGGTTACAGAAAGAAGACCGCCACCGGATGAACCAAGGGAAGAAGAGCTTCCTGGGCTTTTGAGCTTTGCTTCGCCATCTAAAAATCCGCTTAATTTCTCAAATTCTTCTCGAAAAGGTTCGAATGTCAATTCCACCACAACTTTTCCTCTATTTCTTTTGTTATGTGAATCATTTGGGTTCATGTTCTTGAGAAGATCAAGAGTGAATTGCTTCATCTCATAAGGAGTAAGTGAATTAAGTGACACAACTTGCATGCCCAGTTTGTCATGGGCTTTGACCTACAAAATAGGACATAGCACTGTTAGTTATCAAGTGTCAAAATAGTTCCCTAACTATTCACATGGCTATATTTGTCCTAGAATCTATAAAAGTGTTAAATTAGTCCTCAAATTCTTTAAATTGGGGTTGAAATAGACATCCATTGGGATTATCTCAGCTCATATTGAAAAATTATGGGGACTAAATTGACACTTCTATAGAATTTGAGACTAAAAAGATCCCCTCTAAAGAGTAAGAAGACTATTTAACACTTTTCTCAAAATTTTTCATATGAAAAATCATAATGATATCCAACCAATTATACTTTATCATTTTAATTACCAAAGTTTTACATACATACCATTCAATTCTCATGTATTTGCATATTAACATCTATACTTCAATTTTTACATGCACGCCACCTTACCTTTGCATGAAATGATGTATTTCACTTTTTAAATGTTAAAATGGTGGTATTTTTTATTGGATATGATAGATTTGGGTGATCTAAATGTAAAAAGTAAAGATTGGGTCTTAGATATGTAGTTACACAGGAATTGGATAGTATGTATGTAGATACCCCATCATTTTAAAGAGGCAATTACATACATAGCATGCGATTCTTATGAATTTACATAT